GCTCATATGATTTAAAATCAAAACTTCTTTATTTTGTTTGAGATAATTACTCAAAACTTTAGCTTAAAAGCTCTCTTGGAAATCGATGTTTCCCTTTCTTATTCAAATGTGAAAACATTTAAAACTCTTGGGAATACTTAGTTCGGTTATAGCTTTTTGAGAAATGAACTCAACTTTTTACTCTTTGCTTAAATTGAAACTTAAGTCTTAAAACAAGGTTAAACCGTTTGTTAAAGACTTTTGAAAACTTTAAAAACTTTGATTTGACTTGATTCTTAACTTCTCTTGACTTTGATCCTAACTTTCCTTGAATTGGATTATGGATTCAAGGTTCATGATCTCATGTTTATGGAAGATTTCATGATGATTAAATGTACCTTAGAGTGTTGGAATCAACTAGAAAACATAGGTACATTGCTAAGAAACTAGTACGAAAGATTAGGGAAGAAATGGGAAAGACTGGCGACCTTGGCGCTCTGAGAGGCGCGGGGCGCCAGAGCACAAACTTCAAAGCTGAAGTTGTGGCGCTCTGGCTGGCGCGTCGCCCCAAGCCCTTGCCCAGAAAATTCTCGATTTTTCTTGCTCGTTTTTCATCTCTAAACCCTCTAAACTTCAATGGTTCTTTCCCCCAAACACTTAGAATCATTTGTACCCTCAATATACATCAGATTCTACTTGAAAAAACACAACTAACAACATGAATCAATCTCAAGACAACTCCAACAACACAACCCACAAGAATTCAAACGAATTTCATCAAGAACTCAAAGATTTACTTTCAAATCTAATAATTTCGCAGAAATTGAATCATGATTGGCGCATGGGTGAACTAACCCAATGCTATGTGATCTCACATACCCGGTAGTAATAAATCCTTGGTGAAAACCACAACTAAATGGATCGATCTTGATGAATCTTGCCCTTTCTTCTTCTTTCTCCTCTTTTCTCCTTTCTCCAATCCCTAGCGTAAATTTCCAACTTCTAAAATTGACTAAAATCTTATTTGACCCATATTAAACTCCTAAAAATGGATTAAAATAATAGGGCAAGGAAATGACTAAAATACCCTTAAAAATCCGGATTGGACATTTCCTTATTCCAACAGCCCAACTTCCAAAGGGCATAACTTACTCATACGAATTCGGAATCGCGCAAACTCGGTGGAGTTGGAAAGATCATTCCAAGATATTTCCAACCATATCTGGAAGTAGACCTAAATCATTCTTAGCTAGGAGTTATGACCGTTTGAAGTTGACCAAAAACTCATTTTTCCTAACTTAAACAAATTTCCAGATTTGTCACTATTTCCAAAAACGATTATTTCAAGTTCTTAGCTTCTTCCTAGCTATTTCAAATTTCGAGATGTTACAATATCTCCCCCTTGGGAACATTCATCCTCGAATGAGATTACTCCTACTGGGTTAAGAGTGGTAACATCAAGTTAAAACACCCAACAAGCACAAGCAAATGCAAACAAACAACATACTCACTCATAATTTAGACAGTACTAAGAAGAGAATTAGTACCTTGGTCTGCATTTTCTCCGGACTCAAAGATATGTGGGTATCTTTTCTTCATATCCTCTTCAGCTTCCCAAGTAGCTTCCTCAACAAATTGGTTCCTCCAAAGAACTTTGACTGATGCTACTTCCTTAGCCCTCAACTTGCGAACTTGGCAATCTAGAATCCGAACCGAAATTTCCTCATACAATAAGCTGTCCTTGATCTCAATATTTTAAGTTGGTATGATCAATGAAGGATCGCCCGTGCACTTCTTCAACATGGAGATATGAAACACCAGAGAACTGTTGCTAGCTCTTGTGGTAGCTCCAACTCATAAGCTACATTGCCCATTATTTTGGATATTCGGTAAGGCCCAATATATCGGGGACTAAGTTTCCCCTTTTTACCAAACCTCATAACACCTTTCATGGGTGAAACCTTTAGATATACCCAATCATCTACTTCGAACTCTAACGCCTTTCTCCTAACATCAGTGTAGGATTTCTGACGACTTTGTGCCGTTTTCAACCTCTCTTGAATTACTTTAACATTCTCCATAGCTTGATGAACTAAATCTGGTCTTATCAACAATGTTTCACCAACTTCAAACCATCCAATAGGAGATCTGCATTTTCTCCCATAACGAGCTTCATATGGAGCCATTTGGATGCTAGAGTGGTAACTATTGTTGTAAGCGAATTCAATAAGGGGTAGGTGATTATCCCAATTACCTTTGAAGTCGATCACACAGGTCCTCAACATATATTCTAATGTCTGAATAGTGCGCTCTGCTTGCCCATCTGTCTAAGGATGAAAGGCAGTACTTAAGTTCACTTTCGAACCCAAACCTTTCTGGAAAGATTTCCAGAACTGTGCAGTAAATTATGCACCTCTATTTGAAATAATGGAGACTGGGACTCCATGAAATCTTACCACCTCTTGAATATATAACTTGGCATAATCTTCTGCTGAATGGGTAGTCTTTACCGCAGAAAATGGGATGATTTTGTCATTCTGTCGACAATCACCCAAATAGAATCATGCTGTTTGCAAGACCTTAGCAAGCCTGTGATGAAATACATATTAATCATCTCCCACTTCCATTCCGAAAGTTCTATATTCTGCACCAAACCACCGGGCCTTTGGTGCTCTACTTTAACTTATTGGCAATTTGGACACTTATCAACAAATTCTGCAATGCTCTTCTTTATATTATTCCACCAATACAGTTCTTTCAAATCACGATACATCTTTGTGGAACCCGAATGAATGGAATATCTAGAGCTATGAGCCTCTTCCATGATCCTCTCTTGGAGTCCATCCACCATTGGTACGCACGATCTACCTTGATATCTCAGTACGTCATCTCCTCCTTGTTCAAAAGCTGATACTTTTTGCTTAACAACATTTGCCTTCAACTCAACTAAAATAGGGTCTTGGTCTTGCTTGCCTTTTACTTCTGATACTAATGATGACTCGGCCCTATTCGTTACCGTTATACCTCCTTCTGTGGAATCCATTAGTCGAACTCCTAGGCGTGCAAGTCTGTGCACATTTTTTGATAACTCCCTCTTTTCTTCCTCAACATGGGCGGTGCTACCCATAGACAACTTGCTTAACGCATCAGCAACCATATTAGCCTTACCTGGGTGGTAAAGAATACTCATGTCATAATCCTTGAGTAATCTAACCACCTCCTTTGTCTGAGATTAAGCTATTTCTGGGCGAATACATACTGAAGGCTCTTATGATTAGTAAATATATCAACATGAACACCATACAAATAATGATTTCATCTCTTCAAAGTGAATACTACAACAACCAATTCTAAGTCATGGGTTAGGTAGTTCTTCTCATGAACTTTCAACTGTCGGGAAGCATAAGCTATAACTTTGCCATTCTGCATTAAAACATAACCCAAGCCAACTCTAGATGCATCACAATACACCACAAAACCTTGAGTACCTTTCGGTAAAGTTAAAACTGGGAAGTAGTCAACCTTTTCTTCAATTCCTGAAAGTTTTTCTCACAAACTTTAGACCATTGAAACTTCACTGTTTTTCGAGTCAACTTCGTCAAAGGGGACGAAATGGATGAAAAACCCTCTACAAACCTTCTATAATAGCCAGGTAAACCCAAGAGACTCCTAATATCCGTTGGAGATGTGGGTCTAGGCCAATTCTGCATTGCCTCAATTTTCTGAGTATCAACTTTAATTCCCTCTCCAGACACAATATGGCCTAAGAATGCCACAAACTCAAGCCAAAACTCACACTTAGAGAACTTGGCATACAACTCCTTATCTTTTAAAGTCTGAAGAACTATTCTGAGATGGCTAGCATGATCCTCTTCATTCCTTGAATAGATTAGTATGTCATCAATAAAGACGATAACAAACATATCTAAGTAAGGTTTGAAGACTCTATTCATAAAGTCCATGAACGCTGCTAGTGCATTAGTGAAATCGAACGACATGACCAGAAACTCATAATGACCATAACGGGTCCTGAATGCTGTCTTTGGAATGCCACATTCCCTTACTTTCAACTGGTAACCTGATATGAGGTCAATTTTTTAGAAACAGGAAGCACCTTGAAGCTGATCGAAAAGATCATCAATTCTCAGTAGATGATCTTTATTATTGATGGTAACATTGTTCAACTGACGGTAATCTATACACATCCTAAGGGGATCATTTTTCTTTCTCACAAACAAAATCGGAGCGTCCCAAGGTGAGACACTTGGTCGAATGAAGCCCTTATCTAGGAGATCTTTCAACTGTTTTTTCAACTCTTTCAACTCTGCTGGTATCATCCTATATGGAAGAATAGAGATAGGACGGGTATCTGGAAGAATATCTATATCGAAGTTTATCTCTCTTTCAGGATGGACTCCAGGTAGATCATCTGGAAAGACTTCTGGATACTCTTTTACTATAGGAACTGACTGGATATGAGGTATCTCAACACTAGAGTCATTAAATCGGATTAAGTGATAGACACATCTCTTAGAAAATAACTTTCTTGCCTTAAGGTACGAAATGAAACGACCCTTAGGCACTGTTGAACTACTTTTCCACTCTAAGACTGGCTCACTTGGAAACTGGAACTTGGCAACTCGAGTTCTACAATCAACTGAGGCATAACAGGCATGAAGTCGGTCCATACCAAGAATGACATCAAAATCTAACATGTCTAACTCAATTAAACCATCCATAGTACTCTTGTGATTGACGAAAATGGGACAATCACGATAGAATCTATCTCCTAGAATAGACTCACCAACAGGTGTAGAAACACTAAATGGTTCACTAAGTTGCTTAGGAATAACATCAAAATTCATAGCAACATAAGGAGTTACAAACGACAAACTCGCTCCTGGATCTAGAAAAGCATAAATAGTAAAGTCAAAGACTTGAATCATACCAGTGACAACATCTGGAGAGTTATCTTGCTCTTGGCGACTGGTGATTGCATAAAAGGTGGTTTGTTTCTCCACCGGCATCGAAATTAGCTCCTCTAGGTGCAGCCCTGTCTGGTGGAGCAACGGATGAAAATTGGGCCCTATTGCCCTGGTTTCCACTATCTTGCCTGTTCTTAGGGCACTTTTTCATTAAGTGACCCTCTTGCCCACACTTGAAGCAACCTGTTTGTCCATCACGACGCTTACCTTGGTGGGTTTTACCACACCTAGAACATGCAGGAGCCCAGTTACCTTCTTGTGCTACACTACCCTGAGACTGTGCAAGTCTAGCTTTGAAGTTCTGCGAATTCTGGCCATTATACTCACCTTTGTTTCTGGGTACAGATGCACTAACAGATGATGGAGCAGGTCCCTTTTGCTTTTGTTGAAAGGACGAACGATTCACGTTACCCTTCTGTTGCCCGGACTCATTCCTGGTCTTAGCTTTCTTATTTCTGAATTCATCTCTATCCCTAAGCTTCTCTTCCTCAACCTGCTTCACATAAACCATCAACCACGAAATATTCATATCACATATAAGCATTGCAGCCCTACCTTCCTTACTCGACAGAGAAGACAACCCAGCCATGAACAAGCTCATCCTACTCCTCATATTCGCAACCATCTCCGGAGCATAGCGGGACAGTTGGGTGAACTTCAACCTATACTCATAAACACTCAAAGAATCCTGCTTCAGTGTTAGGAATTCTCGTACCTTAGCCTCTTTTAGTTCTCAGGGAAAGAAATGCCCCAAGAAAGCCTCATCAAAACAGGTCCAACTCACAGGTGGTGAATCCTCAGCTCTACCCCCTTTTCACTGGTCGAACCAAGTCCTAGCGACATTCTTCATTTGATATGCAGCTAGCTCAACTCTCTCAGTATTAGCAACAAGCATCACATTAAACACCTTTTTTCAGTTCATCTACAAAGTTCTCTGGATCCCCAGAAGTGCTTGAACCAGTGAAACTTGTAGGATTCATCCTCAAGAACTCACGAATCCTTGAAGTGTCAGCCCCTTCTTGTCGAGCTCTTCTTTGCTGCCCAACCTGGTTAGTCACAACTTGACTCAGCATCCTGATTGCTTCTCTAAATTCAGCATTAGTGACTTCCCCTTGAGGTTGCACTTCAGATGCATTTGGTAACTCTTTCTCCTCAACATTACACCTAGCAGGACGACCTCTAACAGCTCTTTGTGGAGACATGATTATCTGAAAACACGCGCAAGCACGAATTAGAAGGAAAATTTTTAGAGATCAAACTCTAACGCACGAAATGAGTGTGAAAGAAGTGAGAAATTTTCATAAGTGTCGCAGCCTCCTAGTCATATATGTGGTACGCTTTACACCGATAAATAGGACTCTACAGACACGGCTTCATAGACTCCTTAGGACTCTTGAACTCTGTGCTCTGATACCAGGTTTGTCACTCCCCGAGCCTACACCCTGGACGTGGCTGGCACACGAAGACCATTGCTGGCCTCAAGCGAACCCTTGGCCTGGCTTACTACCTCAGCGGAAGACTCTAAACATGCTTACTATGATCAAAATGAACTACTCAAATAATTTTAGTGAAATAACTCAGAATGTTTAATAGTCAACATTCAACTTGGCCAAAATGGCAACTCAAGTCTCAACATATGAAATGATAATGCAAAGACATCTAACTACTACATGTTTATGAAGCCTCTAAAACAAAGAGGGATGTCGGGACAGGACCCCCGATTATCCTAGCATCTGAAAGACTAAAAAACAAATAAATAAGTCCTCCGGAATGCAAGGAGTCTCACCAACAGACTCTGAATGCTCAAGTTGGATCAACGAGGCGCTGGATACTGATTTTGGTTACCTGCGTCTGCATCATAAGATGATGCAGGCCGACTGGCATCAGTACATTAAATGTACGAGTATGCGAGTTGGAATGCTAAACAATACATAGGCTTGAAAAGATTCTGAAAGAAACACTTACCTGGCTCTTCTCAATTCATGAATAACTCAACTCATAATAAAGCAATAAGACACATGCAATATATGAAAAGCTTTATAAAACGATAAAAGCAACTTAGTTCGTTAAAGAAAAATGCAATAACAAACTCAACTTTACTCATATAACAAAGTAATATAATTTATGTGGGAGATTCTCTAACCGACAACCACTACTATGAGCCTAAGTGATGGTACAACATTTTACCTCACGCTGCCAAGGACTGTCCTATACCTTGCCGGGGGTATAGAACCTAACTCACTAAGTGGATCCACTAGTCTATGCTAAAATAATCACAAGGAATCATCTAAAAAGTATGATCCTCTACTACCCATGATGGCTACATGGTTTATGGAGACTTGAGTTAATATGATCTCATCCCCATATCGGTGCTCAATACTACTCTCAAAATATACTTAGCTCATATGATTTAAAATCAAAACTTCTTTCTTTTGTTTGAGATAATTACTCAAAACTTTAGCTTATAAGCTCTCTTGGAAATCGATGTTTCCCTTTCTTATTCAAATATGAAAACATTTAAAACTCTTGGGAATACTTAGTTCGGTTATAGCTTTTTGAGAAATGAACTCAACTCTTTACTATTTTCTTAACTTGAAACTTAAGTCTTAAAACAAGGTTAAACCGTTTGTTAAAGACTTTTGAAAACTTTAAAAACTTTGCTTTGACTTGATTCTTAACTTCTCTTGACTTTGATCCTAACTTTCCTTGAATTGGATTATGGATTCAAGGTTCATGATCTCATGTTTATGGAAGATTTCATGATGATTAAATGTACCTTAAAGTGTTGGAATCAACTAGAAAACATAGGTACATTGCTAAGAAACTAGTACGAAAGATTAGGGAAGAAATGGGAAAGACTGGCGACCTTGGCGCTCTGAGAGGCGCGGGGCACCAGAGCACAAACTTCAGAGCTGAAGTTGTGGCGCTCTGGTTGGCGCGTCGCCCCAGAGCCCAAACTTCAGACTCTGAAGTGGGGTGCTCTGAGAGGCGCGGCGCCCCAAGCCCTTGCCCAGAAAATTCTCGATTTTTCTTACTCGTTTTCATCTCTAAACCCTCTAAACTTCAATGGTTCTTTCCCCCAAACACTTAGAATCATTTGTACCCTCAATATACATCAAATTCTACTCGAAAAAACACAACTAACAACATGAATCAATCTCAAGAAAACTCCAACAACACAACCCACAAGAATTCAAACGAACTTCATTAAGAACTCAAGGATTTACTTTCAAATCTAATAATTTTTCTGAAATTGAATCATGATTGGCGCGTGGGTAAACTAACCCAACGCTATGTGATCTCACATACCTAGTAGGAATAAATCCTTGGCGAAAACCACAACTAAATGGATCGATCTTGATGAATCTTGCCCTTTCTTCTTCTTTCTCCTCTTTTCTCCTTTCTCCAACCCCTAGCGTAAATTTCCAAGTTTTAAAACTGACTAAAATATGATTTGACCCATATTAAACTCCTAAAAACGGATTAAAATAATAGGGCAAGGAAAAGTCTAAAATACCTCTTGAAAATCCGGATTGGATATTTTCTTATTCCAACAGCCCAACTTCCAAAGATCATAACTTACTCATACAAACTCAAAATCACACAAACTTGGCAGCGTTGGAAAGATCATTCTAAGAGCTTTCCGACCATATCTGGAAGTAGACCTAACGCATTATGAGCTAGGAGTTATGACCGTTTAAAGTTTACCAAAAACTCACTTTTCCTAGCTCTTTATGTTTAAAAACATAACTTATTTCTGTGGTTTGATATAATTGCTCAAAACTTAGCTCAAATGCTATCTTGGAAATCTCAGTTTCCTCTCTTGCTTAATTGTGAAAGCATTTAATCTTTACTGAAAACTAGCTCAAAGGCTCTTTGGAAATCAAAGTTTCCTTTCTTGTTTAATTATGAAAACATTTACTCTTTGAGGATACATAGTCCCGATATACTCTTTTAAAGAAATGAACTTCAAACTTTACTCTTTACTCAACTCGAAACTCAAGTCTTAAAACAAAGTTAAAACGTTTGTAAAAGACTTTTGAAAAACTCTAAGAACTTCTCTTGACTTGACTCTTAACTTTTCTTTGACTTGGATCTTAACTTCTCTTGACTTGACTCTTAACTTTTTCTTGAATTGACTTATGGATTCAAAGATTGTGATTTGTGATAGGGAAGATCTCATGACATATATGAGTGATTTTAGATAGCTAAACATGAGAAATGACCAAGAAATCCTGCCTGGAAACTAGTCCACGACGCGGGGGTGTATTTAAATTTTTGGTTGCGAAATTAATTTTTGAGGCAGAACGGTCAGTGACCGCTCCATGACGAGAGGAAAAATTGTCAATTCTGAGGAATAGGTCCGCGACGCGGACCTAGTACCTAGATTCTGCCGACTTGTTCCTTCTTCGTTTTCTAACCCCAAATTACCTAGATTCAATTCTTTTTCTCCATATCTCTTTAGATTCAGGTACCCACAACATATACACAAGAATCTAACTCAAATCAACTCTAATAATCGATCTTAAACTCTCAAAAACTCCTCAATCTCATCCCAAATTCAAGAACGAAAGCAATTCAAGAATACAACACAAGAACATCAAATTCTCAATCTTTTTAGGACGAAATTACACTGAATAAAACATGTTTAGCGCGTGGGTGAAGGAACCCAACGATGTGTGAACTCACATACCTCGTAGGGATCACCCTTTGACGAAATCCACAAGTGATTCTTGAAGATCTTGACGATTCTTTCTCCTTCTCCTCTTTTCTCTTCTTCTTTTCTCTTCTCTCAAAACCCTAACACAAATTCCAAAGCGTAAACTGAATTCAATCAGTTTAGACCTTAAAATAATTACCAAGAACGCAATTAACTAATTGGGTATGGAAAAGACCAAAATAACCTTCAAAAATCTGGATTGGACTTTCCTTATCCAAATAGCCCAACTTCCAAAGGACATATCTCACTCATACGAACTCAGAATTGCATTAACTCAGCGGCATTGGAAAGATAATTCAATGATATTCCCTACGGTATCTGGAAGCACACCTAACTCATCCTGAGCTAGGAGTTATGGTCATTTGAAGTTGAACAAAAACCCAAACTTAACCAATTTTTCAGATTTTTATTATTTCAAAAAATCACTCTCTCTAATTCTAGTTCTTTCAATTTGCGAGATGTTACATTGCATCTAACAATTTACATGCATCTTTAAAAAGGAGGAAATAATATAAGACCACTTACAAAATGAATATAAGAAAAGAATGTTTTCAGATTTAGATTTTATTGTACTATAAAAATGACATAAAACTAAAATAAAGCAACCAAATCAAATCTCCCTATATTTAATGAGAAGATTCAATTAAATTGCACAAAACATAAATTATACTAAAATAAAATATATATTAAAAGAAAGCAAGGCAGAATATATAGCTTCTAGCACGATTTCCCACTTAAAAGCAAAAGAGAGTATTGAATATATTACTACTAGATATGAGACCCCGTGCCAGCACGGGGCCCAATATATGTTACTGTTTCCGTTTTAATTTATGTGGTACATATGAAATTTGAAATTAATCAATTTTTTAGTATGTTTTTATATATTTTAAGTTGCTAATTATTTGTATTTAGAGTATGTTTTACGTAAATATATTAGAAATCACAATAATTAACAAGTTAATATAAAAAAAAACTTATAAAAAATTCATTGACTTTTGAAATTTCATTTGTATCACATAAATCAGGACCGAGTAATATATATGAAAATTACATAAAACGTACTATAACTCACAATAATTAGCAACTTAAAATATCTATATATCTAAATTTTTCCCAATTTATGCGGTATAGATGAAATTTTGAAAGTTAACAAAAACTTTTTATATGTTTTGAAATATTTTAAGCTATTAATTATTATGATTTATAATACTTTTTACATAAAAAAATTATTTATATAAAGTATAAAAGAAAAAATTTAGAAAAAGGAAACATAAATGTTAGCAGGAGTCCAGTCTATGTTAATTTCTATGTTTTAATTATTGTAATACCGATTGAATTTGGAGAGCCAACTAAAAAATTTGAAAGGATTTTTTTTATAAATTTTAAGTTGTTAATTATTATAATTTATAATATTTTTATTAATTTTAAACCAATATATGTTTTTCTCTGTCTCAATTACATGAGACATATGGAATTTGGAGA